TTGTATCAAAATATATATATTTTTGAAATTCAATTTACTTGATAGAAATTTTTTGAGTCGTGGGGTGTATTTTATATATAGAAATTGCTGGAAAGAAAACGGACTAAGATTCAGACAAACATTGAATTGAAAAGGTAAGTAGTATGAGTTTCCTAATCGAGCTGATTGAAAGATCAGGTGCCGTGTCAAATATACGGGTCAATCTTGGCCTGTGAGGTATGTCTCTTGATTTCGTTGTTAACTGATTGAAAAAAAAAAGGCAATCAATACAATAATATAGACCGATCTTAGGCTATGGCTACTTTATTAAGAAAGGAGCATTTTATTTGGAGAGGCTGAGCAATTTCTTCCATTTTTTTCAGCCGCTCGTATTTGCAGAAGTTTTTTTTTTCGCGACAACTGTACACGTATATTCATAGCCTTTTATCACAGCCCAACCTTCATAAGTTTAGAGTCGTCGACCATAGTACCTCTAGAAACAGCTATTGTATTATATTTTAATTTATGGAGTTAAACTCCATGGGTATTAATTTAAAACTGGTTCCAGATTCATTCAAAATCTGTAACTTCCCACAAGTTCTAATTAGGCAAGCCTCTGTTTAACAATGGAACAACTGGCTTCCTCTGTTCTCGATTCAAATCTTTGTTGAAACAGAGGTGGAAATAACTAACCGGTTAGGCGCGAGAAAGATTTTACGGTCAATCGCATTTTTACCTGGACAAGAGCCAGTTACGTAGTCGCTTAATAATGATATTTAACGAACGTACAGGAACGTTAAGAGGACTTTAAAATAAAACTTCTAAGCAAGAACGGAACTGTAAGAAGGGATTTACGGTACAAGCAGGTCGAAAATGAACGAAGAATTTAGTGGAAGTGGACAGGGGGATGGAGCTCGGGAGAATAAGGGGTGGGACCACTGGAAGGGGTTTGGGAGATGGGAGAGGAAAGGGCGTGTGATGGGAGTTCTAAAAGGGTGGAAAGCGGGACAAAAAGGGGGAAATTACCCAACAATGCTTAAAATTTGCAATCGAAAAATAGCTAAATGACGGTAAAAATAAACGGTGAAAATTTGCCTCGACGTTTTGGTCCTAACCCCAAAATAGATGGCTGGCTAGTCCCATAGCAAACATGTGAACAACAAGGGACACCATTCGGAATAAATCATGATCATGAAATGTGATTTACACATGAACGCTTTCTCCAACGATCGCTTTATCATGGCTAGAGACTTGATCGGAGTCATTATCCTCTCGTGGTTTTAGCTCATTCTCTCTTGGTTTTAGTCTCCTTCGCAGCCGCTCGGGTTAGAGTCAACAATGCTCTCCGCCCTCTCGCGTGGACGTTTATCTTAAGCCCTGTCCACATTAAAAACGTAGAAGTTTGAACGTGCTGTGTGTTTGGTCCAGGCTGGACCGGTGTATTGGAAAACGCAATATTTATTTGGTCAAAAATGGATAAACATGCAAAGTGCATATATTATTTTCTAAATGTCTCTCAGATTAAAACGCAAACCTGATGTTTTCAAATTCACTCGCTTTGAAGCTGGAATATGCGATGAGCGTTTACCAGAAGTTCCAAGACTGTAAAACAGCCGGTCCTTTTTTATGCCCTTGTATGATTTTCGCACGCGCGTGGGCCTCACACGCTCATAAGGCGTAGCAAATCTCCTTTTCACCCTCGCTCCAGATGTTTCGTTTCAGCGTGGGTTCTTGATCTACTTAAAAAAAGGCTGATTTTTCTCTGGTCGACAATTTATCCAGCTAACTTTGATACCTTTGTTCCACACACACAATTGGCTATCAAATGGTTTACCCAAATGACCAAAACCCGGCCTAAAAACCTTGTTCTTTTTTATCTGCTACCATCCGTCCCCGAGGCAGCCTGCGGGAAAAGTCCAGATCTTCGGGCCCGAGGGCTGGGGGTATAGTGAGGGTGGGCAAATTAAAACTAACTGTTCATTGTTCTCTTTTGTGTGTGTGCCAGTGTGTGCGAAGTACTTCTGGCCGCTTGAAACAATATGGCCGGTTGTTTTTTTTTTAAAAGAAGTGTGGGTATCCCGGTTTTTTTGTTGATGGCAGTGTAAGTCAGGTTCTCTATATTTTGTACATAAATTATTGAACGAAACAGCATATTTGCGCTCGATGAAAAGTCGCGGGGTGGGAATTACGGCATTTTTCGTGTACCCTACGGTGGGGAATAGACCGACAAGTGAGACATAGATGGTAGAAAGGAACCATTCAGAGGCCGATCCTGTACTCTTTGTAAAGAGTTGCAAGGTTTTACTCATGACAGGTAATGACGTACATCAAATGGTTCCTCTGAGTTCACTGATGATAGTTTGCCTGTAAAGTTCATGAGAGGAAACTTTGACTACTTTCTTGGCCGGTTAAATAGCGTCTTTTATGAAGAGGTGAGTGCTCTTCAGTTGTTTGTTTTAACTATAGTACTTTTTGTATCATTTTTTGTCAAAATTTAAAGCATTTTGTCGACCAGTTGGGAAGGGCGCATTAAGGGTTCATTGTTTGGTTCGCCAAATGCAGGTTTTCCCCATTTGAACTCTAACAACTTCCAGCCCCTCAGTAACTGGTTTTTATCGAATGAAACAAACTTTCAGATGTACTTGATTTGAGATACTGTACATGTATTTTTAACATTCTGCTTTCGTTAAGCCAGTATGAAATTATGTCGGTATTGACACTGCACTTGACCTTCTGGATCCTTCTGCGCCTCGGTTTTCACTTATTCCATTTATACGTTAAAATTAAAAAAAAAACCAATAGAAGACTTAAATATTCATTAGATACTACATTATAGAACATCATATTTATCTTCATTGAAAAAAATGCATATTTGGGCACATTAAATATAATTTCATGGAGTTTCAACGTTTTATTCAAAAACATCGAGTTTACCTCTCTCGGAAAGTTGCTTTTTAATTGCCTGAGCTGGATTTTTTTTATGTTGTACTAAAACAGTAGGGCTTTTCTGAGTTATAATAATTCTTCTAAAATTCCATGTACCAGGCCGTGATTTTTTCCTTCAAAGTTTTGCAAAATTTCATTGTTTATGAAAGTGCTGACGATAGGAATCTTCCGGGCGTTTTTTAACCGAGTAAAAAATTCATTATCTTGCAATATTTTTACCGAGTAGCATTGTAACTGGGATGCCTTACTTACCTACCAAATATGAACTTGTTTCCTTGAACCGTCTTTCTTCCCGATGGCTTTGAAAATGGTATAATTCAAAGGTTTTTGACCGTCGACTATATGGCGGGGGGCAGCATTTCACTTTTTGCCGGTTTTCTCGAACAAGAAAATTCTTTGGAAACTTTGATTGTGATTTTCGAAAATGTTTCACCAAAGGGTTTTTCTGACTGAACATGAAGAATTTCGAAATTTCCGTTTTGACGGCAAATTGATGTTCTCGATATTTACAGACAGCCGCTCTTAATCACGAGTTCATCACGTCACGTGATCTGTCACTAAAAGTACGGACTTATTCGGGACAAACAAGCATGGCGATGTTTTCTTTTTCACTCGGTCGATAGTACAATAGAGTTTCGGCCAGTTGAGTTGATGGCTAAAATATGATTTTCCTTTGCTTGAATTTCTCCAAATAAAGTGAATCAGTTCCAGAGCTAAACTTAAGTAGGCAGTTTACACAGATATTCTAGTTTACATGAGAAAACTCGCACCGGCGCGAGTTTCATACTGAGATGACTTTTATTTCGTGTCGCGTTTACATTATGACTGGGTGATTTCATATTTCGTTATTTGAAGGTACACTTCATGGTGATAAAATACACGTAAGACTCAAAATCACAAACATTACGCATGCGCTACCCGTTCCAGTCTACCGGCAGACCGATTTCACACTGAAACGTGCGGTCAATTCGCGTTTACATGACACCGTTGCGAGATTTCGTACCGGAGTGAAATTCTCGCCCCGGTACAACAACCGGGGTGAACTCATGCCGGGGTGACTCGCGCCGGCATGACATCTTGTGGTGATTGTAGAGCCATGAGAGGGAACCGGAGTGAACTCACTCCGGCGCGAAAGTCTCCCCGGTGTCATGTAAACAGCCCCTGTAAAAAATCTCTGCAGGGCGGGCTCTTCTGTTTCCAAGGACAATTGAAGAACAAACCCCAATTTTCAGTTTTTGTATATTTCATCGCAGTTTACAATCTATCTACTCGCCAACAAAATTTCTAAAACACTGAGACTACCTTCAGTAATTATCAAAGAATATTACGCACTGAGTCATTTTCTGGTTAGCCTGCGAGCAAGCTCTCAGAAGCTCTCCTATTTGGGCCAGTGAAGCGAGTGTCGCGAGAACGCGCGAGCAAGCGGCGAAGCCGCGAGGGGCAGAGGAAAGGAGAGCTTGCAACGATCTCTCATAAAATTTCATTTGTACTTCGCCCACACGAAGGAAAATACCATTGGCTGAAAAATGACGTTCCGGAAATCAAGGTTGATTGATAACAGGCCAAGCTGGCACCCGGCTTCGTCTGTACGTGTGTCAAATTTGGTTCTCAGGGGGATCAGACCTTCCCCAATCCCTTTGTAGGCCGGCTACGCAGGCGAAATATAGCTAGAATAATAAGACGAATAAAAACGCAGCAGAATGTATAAGCGCACTATAATTCAGCGCAATATTTACTTAGATTGACAATCACATTTAACATAAGTTGCAATAAAATTATTCACCTAATACCGAATGACGAAAGCCGCAGAGACTTGAAGTGGTCTTTACAGGTATATAGTTAAAAGTTCTTTTTTTCTAACCAGAACCCAGGGACAGTCAGCCGTGTCGGGAGACAACAAATTCTGTAGCTACTTTCTTTGACGCGTGTAAAATCGAAAACTCCTAAAGAAGGTACGGAAGCCCGTACAAAACAATATGCTCCTCATGTAATCATGATATCCTAGGGCCAGGAAAAAGTGACGTGTCTAGCTAGCTTTTAGCTAAGTGTAATTCCACGGTAAACTAAACTTCCACTTAACAGAATTTGTACACTCCGTAGTCTTTTGAGTACTCCGGAGGCCTTCTTTCCCTTACTGGTCTCCCTTCGGGTTCTGTTATCCTTCCGGTGTTATCTTCCTCGGAGGAGTCATCTTCAGCAACTTGTTCATCTCTGGTTGTGTCCTCTCTCAAGTATTTCTCAACATCGGCCACATTTCTCCTCACGTTTCGGGTGACGATGTGATAACCTCGTTCCCGTGCTTCTTGGTAACTATATATGGAAGTGCGCCATACGTGGTTGAGAGCTTGTCTTTCCTCTTTCCTTTGTTTTAAGAGCACTAAACGACCAGGTTCTAGGTCACTATCTCGAGCTCTTCTTTTCTCGTCAGCATAGTCGGCCTCCTCCTGCTTCACTCTCTGCATCCTTATCTCTTGCCTCACTGTCGGAGTATCTCGAGTTTCCCAGCTCAGGAATCTTCATGATCTAATTTCTCTGTTGAACAGGAGTTTGGCCGGCGTGATATCTGTACTGCTGTGAGGTGTCGTTCTGTAGGCTGTTAAAAACTTTCGCATCTCGGTCCAGATATTCTTCTTTTCAGCTTTAGCAATCCTAACGGCTTTAAGCAAGCTTCTGTTCTGTCTTTCGACCTCCCTATTTGCCTGAGGCCAGAGCGGGGTCGAGGTGCGATTTATATGATTCTTTTTCAGAAAACGCTCAAATTCATCGGGCCCATGGTACAGAAAATCTTCTCCAAGCTTTCAATGACTTTAGCGGATGTCACGGACGTTAGAATATCCAGTTCGAAAGGTCGGCTGTAATAATCAACCGAGACAGGTACATATTCTCCTAACGGTAGGGCCGGCCCCATCAAGTCCACGGCTAGGTCAATCCAGGGTTGGCTTGGAAACTTTGTATGTCGTAAGGGCTCTGGTGGTGTAGGCAATCCAACAAGCTGGCAGCCTTGGCAGGTTTTACAGCGGTTTTTCACTTGCTTTCAATTCCAGCCCACCAGACCTCTGTACGAAGTCTCTGCCTGGTTTTTACCATCCCTTGATGACCCTCATGCGCTAAGTCTAGCACTCTTTCTCGTAGGTTTTTGGAATTAGCAACCTCGTTCCTCTTAATACTACCTTTCCTTGGGACGAGAGTTCATTTCTGACATGTTTGCACTTTGGTGGGGCTTTGTCCCAGTTTCCTGTTGCGATGCATTCTCATAGTTGTGAAATTTCTGGGTCGTTAGCTGATTCTTCCTCAGTTTCTCTGATGGGTATTGCTACTGGCGCTGATGTTTCTGCCACAAAACGAATAAATTCCTCAGCATTATCATGACCACTCAGCCCTCCCTTATCGACAAGCCGTAAAAGAGAGTCAGCAATGTTCTGTTTACCTGGTACATACTGCACCCGAAACTTGTATGGTTGAAGTCGAAGTGCCATGCGCTCTGTCCGAGCTGAATTACGGGAACTAGTCAAGTAAATAGTTTATAGAGGCTTGTTGTCTGTCAGCAACGTGAACTCCATTCCATAAGGTACATATGAAAACTCTCGCATCCCCACAAAAGTCCCAATACCTCTCTTTCTGTTTGTGAGTATCTGCGTTCAACCCCTGTTACGGCACGACTTGCATACGCAATTACCCGCTCCTGTCCCTCCTGAACCTGTGTAAACACTGCCCCAAGGCCTACCAGGCTTGCATCTGTAATTAGCTTGGTTACTTCTTCTTCATTTCTGTCGAAATATGCCAATGTTTGTGTCCGTCCCAGGTTACTCTTCAGGGTTTCAAATGCCACTTCCTGTTATGTACCCAACTTGAACGGTACATCCTTCCTTGTCAATTCTCTGAGTGACTCATTGATACTTGCTAAATTAGGGATGAACCGGGCACTAAAGATCACTAATCCTAGGAAACTCTGCACCTCCTTCCTCTGCATTTGTGGGTTCCTTAGCCCGGACCACTGCTTCAACGTATGACTCTGTTGGGCCAATACCTTTCCTTGATAGCAGATATCCCGTGAAAGTGAGTTATGGCATCTTAAACACAAACTTCTCCGGATTGAGGGTTAGTCCTTTGTCACAAATACACTCAATGGTCTTATGCAAACCTGCTGTCGTGCTCTTCAACCGTACGACCATGGATAATCATGCCACCGTGGATGTTGTAGACACTCTCACAGCCGGCCAGCACTTGTCGAATGGTCTGCTGATAAAGCTCTGGGGCAGAGCTGACTCCCTCCGAACATCAAACGTTTATACCTGTACAACCCTTTGTGAGTTATGAATGTGGTAATAACTCTAGACTGTTGCTCCAACTAAATCTGGTGAAATCCCCATTTGAGGTCCAATTTGCTAAACACCTTGCTCCCATTCAGTTGGTAGAGTATGTCATCAACCTTAAGTATGGGATGAAGTTCCCGTACAATAGCTTCATTAGCTTTCCTCATGTGTACGCTTTTCTCATGTCTCCCGAGGGTTTGGGAACCACCACGACCGGGCTCACCCATTGAGTAAGACCTTCAACTGGTTCAATAATGTCACAGTCTACTAGTTCCTTCAGTTTCTGTTCTATTTTGTCCCTTCGCCCATAAGGTGGGGGTCTCAACTTCTGTGCAACAGGTTTAACTGATTCATCAATGTGGAGCTTTGCTTGCAAACCCTTCAGTTTTCCTACTCCCTTAAAACACTCAGGAAAATCTCTAAGTAGTGTTTCTTATTTCATGGCATTAATTTCAAGCTTCAGTATGGCCAGCGCTTCTGAGCTATCCCTGCTAAGCATTGCCCTTGCTTTCTCTTCCACAACAATACAACACACATGGCGCGTCGCGTAGAATTTCCGGTCCATTGAGGTCAACAAAAAATTGCCCGTCCGGGTGGGGGTTAGTATTTCGCTGTTTTTATCCGTGACACTTCTAAATAAAGCATAAATGAGGTAAAAACAACAAAACGGTCAAGGAGAACTGGAAACAAGTTTGGAAAAAATAAAAAAGATGGTGGCCGAAACGCGGAGAATTTTTTTTGGCTTTCAAAAACGTTTTCTGGAAATTTTCCTCGCCCCGACTACCCCTCACGGGTTTAGGTCAAATTCAAAGGAAAACAAAAAAGACTCTTAAAAGACTGTGGTGGTTTTAAAGGCAGACGAGAGATGTCACGATATAAGGTGGTACCGTTCGCGATTTCTGCAAACTTTGGTTGTAACTTTGGTTTTTAGCGCGAAAAACCCAGTGAAATCCGATAAGCTGGCATTAATCGAAGGTAAGATCTTGAATTTGATGTATTTTGATATTAATATTCCGGTGGTACCCAACGAGATTTGGTTAAGAGTCGCTTCAGTCTTATTATTCCGCCATATTTTCAAGACCAAATCGTGGCTCGAATGCGGCTTTAGCCTGTTAAATTCCCGGATGTGACCGGGCATTCTACGCGATGGACGTTTACCTTTGTAACAAGGTTTAGTCTCAAACTCACCAGCAGCAGTAAGAACCCCTCCCATTCGAACACCTCCGAGCTCGATGTCTACGGTGGGAATATCTCTTCCACTAGACTGTAAGGTGAAGGCGAACTCATCATCTTAGGTGACTTGGCGTATATTTCTTTTCTTGTCTCTATTACTATCTTCTTCTTTCGTTTGACAAACTTTGGAGAAATGCCCCACTTTTTTACATTTCCTACAAGTAGCCAGTCTTGCCTTGCACTCTGGATCTCTTGCAAAATGTCCCTCGAGTCAATACCGATAACAACGTCCTTCTCCACGTTTAGGCGAATCAAAATATTCCCGCTCTAAGTAATTCACATTTCCGCTCTGTGAATCGCTTTCAATCGACCGTGTCTGACGTTCAGCAGCTTCCATGGACCTAGCAATATCTCGAGCCTTCTGAAGTGTGAGTTTGCCGCTAACAGCGACTAGTTTCTTGCGAAGATCATGTGACCGACATTTATCAATTAAGTGATCGCGGATTTGTTCTTCCCTGGTTGTTCAAGGAATTCTCGCTAAGCTGGAAAAATCTGGTCACAAACTAGTCTTTTGTCTCGGACTCCTCCTGTTTTGCTTGACGAAACTGATGTCGTTCAAATGGAATGATAACTTGTGGTAAAAATGTGCGTCTAGTAATCTCATAGCTTTCTCATACTGCGTTTCTCTGTTTGGGGCTAGTCCAGGGTCACTCAGCGCAACAAAAATGTCCTGTACATCCTGTCCAGCGCAATGAAAAAGTTAGAGGCTTGTTTTCGTGTATCGATCCTTTGTGATACCCTTGGCCTCGCCAATTGTCGTCCAAATATACGCATTCAAGTTACGGATTAAACCCCCCGAACTACAACAACCGAATAAGGCATCGCCATTCTAAAGTCCTCGACTCACGTGCTTCTCTGTTCGTCTATGCCATAATCGTCTTTACATATCCCGGCATACACTACAAATACTTGAAGCAACGAGCTCAAAATACCGGTAAGAAGAGCTTTGAGAACATCAAAAAAGGTTTCCGCTACTTCGATTACTTTTATTATCCTTTTATTTTGGCACTGTTGAAGAAGACGGTTGTCAATAAACGGAAAATCACACTTTGCAATAGTGCTATGCTCTTATATTCGCAGTCGTAAAACACATGTACGGCAGGGTTAGTTTCCCCGTGTAATTAAACACCGAGAGAAAGATTAGTTCCCGCCAAAAACTGCTCACTTTAACTTAATTGTGAACGCCATTCCTAGGAAAAAGCTGCAGAGTGCACTTCAAGTGCTTTTGAAGTTCTCTTGAACTCAAGTGCACTTCAAATGCACTTCAGGCGGTCCAGTGTGAACCCACTAACTGTTCGATTACAACCCTACACAATAATTACTGAAAAATAAAGCAGTAGATCCACCAATCAAATTTGAGGAAATTGTAATGGTTATGATCAATGAGTTTATTTTTAACAAACTAGACTTTCAGAATTTTTTTCTTACTTTTTCAACCGTAAAACTATGTATGAATATTAAATTAAAGCTTATCCAAATCTCAATTTTGAAACTGTACACTTTCTAGCAAGTCGTCTCCGCTTTTGGAAACTAAGTGTCTTGTTTACTTCCCTCTGCTTGAGCGTTTTGCAGAGAATCCAAAGAGGATGCAAGTGTTGCATCAGAGCTATCTGAGTATTTTTCTCAATAGAGTCAGAAATTGAATCTTCTACGAAACTAACTTAAGCAAAAACATCGAAGTTCGACATTCGTTTGGCAATTGACCACTTCTCGCATAAATCATAATTTTGCGTCTGCCCTAGGCTTAGCTATGTAAAGCCCGAAATATGGCCTAAAATTCTTTCCAGAATTTCCCAAAAAAGCTCCAAAATATAACATTACAAACGAACGTTCTGTAGTGCTCTAGACACTGCTGTTGTAGCATGTGAGCGGACTGAGCGCTCTCTTAATTGATTGGTAGGAATACAAAAAAGAAAAACATTTTTGTCAAAGTTTTTGCCCGTGAAATGTTGCCAAAATGTCGAGTGAATGTTCAAATTGCTCTTTTTCTAGCATTTGTCAATTTCTTTTTCTAAAATTCCCGAGATTTTCTAATATTCCTTTTGATGTCTAAAACTCGTCCAAAAATTCCGGAATTATGCAGCCAAGCCTAGTCTGTCCTCTTATTGATCATAAAAATTAGCCAATCAGCGTGCGAGATAATAAGCATGTATCTGTGCTGACTGCTTGGTAATTTTACCACTGCGCTTTGTTTATAAATCGCCCGCCAGTTTTCCCCTAACTAAGCAAAAGTAACACAAAGACCGTGAGTTGGTCACTTCCGTTTTTCTCGCGTTTGGCGCTTCCAGTTTTGTTTTGACCAGATTTTTTTTGGTAATTTGTTCCTTATACCTATGATACCCTTTTGAAAAAGACTTTATATTGTTTTGCACGATGTTATTGTCTTATAAAATGAAAAAAAGGAGCAAATTCTTTTATTCAAAAATAGGAAAATCCATCCTGTTTAACCCCCTCGCCCGCCCTTCTAAACACTCCTGAACATTACGTTTTACTTTAACAGGAGGATGAAGTTTCTATTTGTGCTATCGCTGATGTTGTCTCACAGTTCGGCACAAAATGCTAATTCAAGTGAGTACATCGTGTTTTTACCAATCAGAATATACTAGCTGACTTTCATTCTATTTTTTTCCCTTGTCCACCCAATAAGTAGGTACGT